GCCCTAAAAATAAATCCTTACATAAAAAGGTAAAAACAATGTGAAGTTATTGCCCTTCTGACTCTCAAAATTAAATACACACAAATAAAATCAATTGTTTTTCAGAATAATCTGATAACAAACTGAAATGGAAATATCAAAGTGTGTTTAATCTATGTTTGTTTCCTTGAACAGGATATTCCACTTGGTGTATAGATAATTTTGGGAATCTATATCAACAATAAGGTTAAACTTGAGTTCTGATAAAAAAAAAGGAAAATGAATTCTCACAGAATCAAAAGAAACTTACACTGAATGTTCAAGATTACAAATAAATGTCATTTGCCAAACAATTTTGGTAGAAAATGTATACTGGCTGAGAAATGAGCATAGAAAGATAAGGAAATCAAGGCAAGCAGGCCTGACACAATTTGTGTATAGTCCCATATACATCTTTCTGTGTACAGTGCTTGTTACTTTACCAAGACTGGGCCAATTCGTCCTTGTTTTCACGAAGTGACGGTAGTGAGGAAAATCGTAACGCAAAGTGAATGCAATTTTTTTTCACTACCGTCACTTCGTGAAAACAGCGACATGATTTTGATGACTCCAGAACCTTGCAGTACACACCAATACGTACATGCTACATGATCAACTTTTTCTGATCCATTCCACACCTTTTCTTTCACAATGCAATCGCATGACCAGAACTCAACTTTATCTTTAATTATTTTATTCTAAAAAAGAGGAAATGATATGACAATACATGACGGTCATGACGTTGAGTAGTATTGGATTATCAAACTCCATTGTAGTCCCATACTATTGTTTTCTGGTGTGTTCAAGCTTTATTCTGCCAACTCACTTCCCTTTTATGATCAATTACATGATTTTAGAATAACAAGTTTCTGTGAATTTAAATGAGTATGCAAAGTTCAAAGCTCTCTGCATGATATTTGAAATAGAACATACAGCATCTTCTAAAAATTAAAAAAAATAATGATTTAAAAAAACCCAGAAAATTTGCTTGTAGGAAACTGTCAACATGATTGCAAATGATCCAAACTCACAAAAGTTCCATGCCACAAAATTATGTGTTTTATAATGTGCAAAAGGTTCATGCAGAGGAAATGCCCATCGTTTATAACTATGGTGATGGTGGTTATTTTACCTGACTACTTAGAAAGCATAAGTGCTTGTAAGTAAGCAACCAGACGGCTTTAGGTTCTCTCCGAGGGAACTGGTAATGAGGATTAATGCCTTACCAAAGGGCACTAGCGCATCGCCTTGGTTTCGAACCAGGATCACCGAACTACAAGACCTTTGCTCTACAGACAATTTTCAAAAGTTTCACATTGTGACATTTCCTTAATCTATAGTATCTATATCATCAGATATGAAACCTGACATCAACTGAATTCAATACGATTTATAAAAGGAATGATTTATAAAAGGAATAATTTATATTTTCAAAACTAAACAGAAATTCTAGTTTTTATTAATCATTACATTCACAGAAATTCGAACAAATGATATGGTGAAACATCAAGCATGTATGAGCAAATGGCAATGTATTGTTATTACTCATTACACACTGCATTTGAAAGTACTTTTGTTTTAAAAGTATTTATGTTTCAAAAGTACTTTTGTTTCAAGAGGGTGTTCATTACTATGGTAAAACAAATTGTACAATTAAAAAAAAGAGAAGAGTGTACAGCTTAACCCAATGCCTGCTGGAACAGGGTGGCTTCTGTATTAAGCCTATGGGACTGAGAGAATTCAGGAGTCAACAGGTTAACCTACATGTCACATGATGATTTCTTTATTTTCATTTGAATTATGAATTACTTTCAGAAACTTGTGTAACCGACATATACTTGATACTGGGGAAGTAGTTGAATCTCATATGACACACTTGCCTAGAAAAAAAATGCAATGCATTTTGAATGCGTTCTGGTCATCCGATTGCATTGTGAAAAAAAAGGTGTGGAATGGATCAGAAAAAGTTGATCATGTAGCATGTACAGTACTGCAAAGTTCTGGAGTCATCAAAATCATAATAAATTTGGCCCAGTCTTGGTAAAGTAACAAGCACTGTACACAGAAAGATGTATATGGGACTACACAAATGGTGTCAGGGCTACTAACCTTGATTTCCTAATCTTACTCAGCCAGTATACATTTTCTACCAAAATTGTTTGACAAATGACATTTATTTGCAATCTTGAACATTCAGTGTAAGTTTCGTTTGATTCTGTGAGAATTCAATTTCTTTTTTTTTGCCAGAACTCACCTTTGTCTTTAAGGAGAGAGTTGAGACAATGAACATTATAACAAATGAATACTCTGACTCTAATCATGAATGGCATGTTTACCAGGAAAGCATTCTGACTGTCTGCTTCCTGTTCCAAGAGCATTATGGGAAGGCTAATGACAGCTCTACAACTAACGACTCGACGAGACTGGGCGAGACCTTGGCATAATTAGCCCATTATCACTCCAATAGTACGCATGACATTGGGACTAATGTTAATTGGGTATGGGATCAATGCAAAAAGGAAGGGTAATAGACACTGCGATTGACATCATTAGATAATAACTAGTAAGACAATAACTTTGTTCCTACTCTTCATGAAAATAAGATTCAATATATTGAGAGCTAGAGGACCATATTAAATCAAACTACAGTCAAACTGTTGACAGGTTCCTTCAGGAAATGTTTCAATGAGAAACCAGTTTTCAAGGGTAACAACAAATGTGGTCTTTGTAGACAGGTGGTCACTAAAGCAGGTTTGACTGAAGATTTAATGCCGATAGGGTTTTCAGCAGATGATCTTTGTACAGTGTATACCAAGAAGCTTCAAAGCTCCTTGAATAACTATGTTTTGTATTTTCTCTATTTCAATTGATCACTAGAGACCCATATTCAGTATAATAATAATAATAATAATAGGCATTTATACACCAAATGTATAAGGCAAGGTAGTTGTTACACAGTCTGGTATCGATTCAAAATTTGACTTCTGTCCCACATCTTCAAGCGGTAAACACAACTATATTCCAATTTTATCTCAAATTATTTGCAAAACAACAACAAAAATAAACAGAAGGTGAGCCACCACCTAATATTTCCTGCACTTTGCTTTTTCTTTTCTTGTTGAAAGGTCACCATTACTTTTTTTTTATCCCACTTTCAATTGTCCTGTTCCAATGGGTCATTAAAATATGCTACCAATGTCTTTACTTTAAAGGTAATACAAAGTTTTGGGAAATTTTGAAAATTTGGTGGATAGTGATTCTTTACAATTTTTTAAATATTTGGATGCCACTGTGGATGTATTATAAGCACTAGACAATTGAGCCCCTAAAACACTTCTGCTTTAGAGAAAAATTGAATATAAAAATTTACTGGTGCTCCCGGTAAATTTTGATAAATTTCAAATAGCGCCTACGGCCGTACACTGGTAGCTGCGACCATGAAAATATCAGAATATATTCCATACGGGAATAGCTAATTGGTAGATTTTAGTCAAGTAACATTGTTTCATAGCTTAATTAATATCTTGACCTTGAGAGGGAGCTATACAACATGAAGAGTTTATTATTTACAATTTCATAAGACTCGATTTCAACCGCGACAACGATCACTGAATATTGAGGATCGCAAATACTTCCAATATGTTCATTTGAACCAAATTCATGACCCTATACCAAAACTTTGTATTACCTTTAACAAACTTAGACAAATGAAGGGTAATACACACCACTGAAAAAGTTAATTAAAAAAAAACATTATTTAAAGAAAAGATAACTTCAAAGCAAGACAAGACAAATCTTATCATGCTCATCCGCATTCTCTAAACTCCGGATTTACAACCAATGACCAGCTTCTCTTTCAGCAAGTCATGTTTACTCTTAAATAGGGGAAATAAATCATCCACGATTTAGTATCACAAGTTCCCCTCCAAACTGTTTTTTGAGGATACCATAGATGAGTCATCTTAGCCCACCCTGGATCCAATACCTACCGGCTATAAATCACCCTTCCTAGGAATACCTTACTTTTTTTTCATGTCAGAAAGATTTTATGACCCCTATATCTATCAATGGTATGGTCCGCTGGTACTTTGTCTAAACACAACTCAGTAGTGTACAAGATTATGATGGAATGTGCCATGATGATTTATGGGGTTACAACTAGAAATTAAACTTGAGAAGATAATGCTTTGAGATATATGACATGAATGGAGTGTCTGGAATTGTTAGAATAAAAATAACATCTGATGAAAATGATGTACATGATGTATTTCTAAATAAGGAGTGCTCTCTCTCTCTCTCTCTCTCTCTCCCCCCCCCCCCCCCTCTCTCTCTCATCTTTCAAACATTGTGTAAATGTTGCTCACAAAAAATTGCTCTTCAAATCTTTTCTTTACAATCAAAGTAACTGGAAAAAATAACAAGCTAACAATTCATAACGACAAAACACAAGACCCCTCAATTTAACACAGAAATAGAAGACAAATAAAATGATTGTGCTGAAGTTAGATTATACCAACAGTGCAAATACAGAGTGTTACTGATTATAAAATATTGATAATGGAATAAAACTGAAATCATTCAAATATCACAAACATCATTATAAGTTATAACTGATGCAAGTCAAGAATAATGACTGTAAAAATAATTTGAAATAATATCTATAAGTAGAAACGAATCATTCATTAGTTATAAAACATTTTTTAGTATTTAACAAGTATGACAGAAACATGGAATAAACAACAAAAAGAGTGTATCAAAACTACATCTACACCTGTTCATAAAAGTGAAAATGCAATTTTGATACAAATAAGTAAATATCTTTCCACGCTACATGTAAAAAGAATGCGTTTTTAGCATGTCAAAGAAAGAAAAATGCAGAAATCATGTCTACTTTAAACAAAACCAACCAAATAAAATAAATGTATTGTAAATGGTTGAATGGAACAAAGTGCAAATGTTCTCTTGGATAAAAATCTACTTACGAATGACGTCTTGCACGGCATTCTTCGCCTTTTTCGCGGAACGCCGTGTGACTGCGTTGAAAGCTAGCAGGAGAGTGTGAATTAACATTGTGGACAAGTGTTTATCAAGGTCAAAGTTCAAAGGTCACACATAGAAAATGGGTGAGTTATTTGTTACAAGTAGAAGAACATCAAACTTTGAAGAATTTTAGATCTCTCCAAGTGAGCTGTTTTATTCGAAAACAAACATCCCAAATCGATGGAGTCAGGGTACCAACTTGGAAGAAAGTGTTGATGCACCATGCACATGTAAATGAAGTTCCAAAATAAATCTATCCAGTTTAGCCACGTTGGTGAGTTGAGGTAACCAGTTTTTAACTGCATGTAACGATAAAATAGTTCACCTCAAGCAGAAAAGTTCCTGGAAGTGAAACAGTTCTTAAAGGGTTTTCCAATCAGATCCTGTCCTCTTATTTTATAATGTTGAAGTGAGCGCTGTCATTGAAGTTGTTGCAGAATATTTCTGTATGAACAGTCTGTGTAACTGAAAGGTCTGAGTTCACAGAGACCTTTTCCTCAAAACAACAACTTTCAAAAGTACATGCAGACTTAGATTTAGCTGTTATTGTGCACTCAAAAACAGGTAACATATGAATGCGTCACTAAAAGAAAGCACACATGTAGACAAAACCAGATGATAGAAGATTTAACAGGGCGAATCACAGATGAAATAACAATTGATCAGTCTTCTATTCCTGGCACAGGAAAGGTTCCTATTTATTCTCCCTCTAATGATGTTGTTAATGAGTCGGCAGGTCCTAATTTGGATCGAAACGAAATGGGAGGTCACCAGAACTTTCAGCCAGTCATGGACACCCTAAGCTGGCAAATAAAACAAATAAATCCATGTAGAGTGAATAATCAATGATTGGTCCATCGCGAGACAATCTCCAAGAGCATCATCGGTGTCGGTACCCGTCGCAGGTGACAACGTCTCAAGAATCCATTTCAAAGTTGCAAATTTGACTCGAGGAAATTAAGTAGACATGTGAGTGAGGTCTCCAGACCTGTCCTTTGCTTAATAATGGTCACTGTTCATCAATATTCCTGAGAGGTTTAAAAGAAAGTTTCAAGAATCCGTTCTAGAGTTTCAAACTTACTGGAGGAAACCAGGTAGACAATCGAAAGAGGGTTTGCAGATTTCCGGACCTGTACCTTGCCTCGATCGATCGTCACGACACACGGTGCAAGGACAGGAAATACAACTTTCAAAAGTAGCGGGGGTGAAGTTTCAGCGGCCTTACGCAAGGTTATGCCTTGTGGTGGATTAGCTGTAAGGCTTGGGTGCAGTATAGGGCTCTGCACTGTGGGGGTTGGATTTGGGGTGCATGTATACAGTAGCGAGGTGCATGTTGTTGATGACGAATGTGGGAGGGGCTTGGAGTAAGGTGATTGACAGAGTAGATCTCCTGGCACATGGTCCAGGGAGAAGACTGATTGGCTGAGACAAGGAGCTGGCAAAAGTTAGTCTGTATCACAGTCACAGACTTTATTATATCAACTAAACAACAACTACATATAACACCAAGAGTTTTAGTACTTGTTGCAACACTCTAAAATCGTAAGTGTCAAATAAACATCTAAAAAGGGCCGAAGGGAAATGCATTTTCAAAGCATATAATATAGATTCAACACCTTTTTTAATATTCAGTGCTAAATTCAACCTGTATAGAGTAAAATCCAACCACATGAATACAGAGAGAGAGAGAGACCACGTTTGGAGACAGTTTCACTCCATGGCCAAATTTTAAAATGTTGTCATAACACTAAGTTTCATACATCCAAGCTCAATGTACAGTTAGCAACTGAATTTTTCAAACAAGTTGTACATTTCACGTTTTTCGTTATTCGAGAATGAAAAGTGGACCGTTTGAATTAAGGCCTTTGTTGAATACTTTTAGATTCAAAATTTAATATGTCACATTCTTAGAGAACATAAATTGGGAAAAGTCAATATGTCACTGTATACTTAAAAGAATTACAAAACTTGGTAAGGGTATATTGGGTAAGTTGTCAACTGTACATGTGTTGTTATCCAGTTTAACATGAGTCATCATCGGAAAGCAAGGAAGGTACATTGTATTACATACAGGTAAGTTAATACCCTACATCTCTGCTCTCAATAGACAACACAGCGAATGTGGGTTAACACATTCAACAATCTCAATCAACAAGTACATCGTATTTGAAACACCCAAAGACAAAACATGTTGGGTCTGAAGACGAGTTTGGCTGAGACTAAGATCAGGTGAAGACAGGGAAAGCCCCTAGACAGGAAGCCTCTGATTGGTTTAACAAGGAGTGTTCATGATGTAAGGAACAATGGGATTGGATAATTTGATTGTATCATCATTCATTATTGCCCCCTTGGGGCAAGGTGTTACTCTTGTGTTCAATGAGTAGATATACAGGTGGAAAAGATAATACCCCCTTTCACACTTTTAAATAATAATATCAATAATTAAACGTTTTTCGTAAAGCATAACGCATAGCCATAATTGCATATCTCTATGTGCTTTACAGACCAGAATACAGAAGAATTGGAAATGGTACACTTGGTCCATAATTGTGAGATCTTACAAAGTGCTATTATTAGATACATGTATGTTTTCAAATTACTTCTAAACTTTTGTTTATGTTTCTATATTTCTAAGGTATTCTGGCAAGTTATTCTACAAATCAGTGGCTGCATATGAAAATTATGAAAGTACATTATTTCTTGGAACAACATTGAATGAAACTCTTGATTTTTCTGTATGCAAAACAATTATGGTACATCAACTCAACTAAAAAATGATTTTATAATCACTCTGCTTTAAATGCTAATTATGTCATAAATGCACTATAATCAACTTAAAGAAATTTAAGCAATTCCAATACCCCATTGCAATGCCTACTATAGAAATCATGCTCAGGTAATTGGATTATAAAAGTGAAAAACACCTGCCCAGCTAACAGCTTTCAACAACTCACATTAAAGCATTCCTTGCGATCCTTGGTTTAATGTGAAAGGGGCACTCTGGCCTTTATTAAAAGGAATTTGTTTTAGCTGGTTCCAGGCAGAGATAAATAGATGGGAAGTGTGACACTATAATTTCTTAATTTCTTAGGACTAGAAGAATTAGTACTAGCTTGAGACAATGAGACACTGGTGTGTAATTGGGAGACAATTTAGATTGTTTTTCCTGGCCGATGGTGATGTGGGGCAGACTTCCATTGTTAAAAAGCAGAATCCAAAACAAATAGTTGTTTAAAAATAGCCGCTGCTAAATTTAGTTCTGTGTTGAGTCTGGAAATGTATCGATTCTAAACTGTTTGGATGAGCCTGTAATGCATATTGCATTGGTTACAAGAGTATGTTTGATGGTTTATTCTACCTGACTGCTAAGAGAGCAGGCATGTGCTTGTAGGTAAGCAACCAGCGAACCGACGGCTTATTAAAGTCCTCTCTGAGGGACTTGGTAATGAAGATTTAAGCCTAAATAAACCAAAGGACCCTTGCTTGGTTTCAAACTCGGGACCTATTGGTTATTAGACCACTGCTCTACGACTGAGCCATCCCTTTTTTTGGTTATGTTTAATACATGTATCTCCATTGAATTGCTAACCCAACTCCACATCGATTTCACACCGACCAATTCCTGGCCATTCGATGTGTAATGTAATTGTTTTTCTGGTCTGTCGTCCGTCTTGTTTATTTATCTGGGTACTATCGCTTTTTAAAGTTTAAAAACAAATTACAAGAGGCATGAAATTACAAGCGATACATATGTACACCATCATACTGCAAATATTGAGGGCTGAGGCAGATGTGATTCAATTATTTTGTAGCATTAACTTCTGGAGCCTGAACCACTCCTCAAAATCACAAAAGTAATTCCAAGCAAGTTTCTTGTTTAATTTAGTTAAAGGACTTTAAAATACTTTAGTTTAAAGACTTTAATTTAGCCCTCACAAATGAAATTCTGATTTTTTTTTTTTTGCCTGGACCATATCCTTGAGCAATTAGTCATATCACACTCTTCTGCTGGTGAAAGACAAAAGCATGACACGATTAAGGGGCTGGCTAGCGCTGGACTCTCTGAACGTCTCCTCATTTCATGTGAATCATCTTGAATATACCCTCAAGAAACAAGATAGGGAGTGGGTTCTGTATTCTCTCTACTTTGAGCATGGGCATTCATGCAAGAGACTAGACTTGATATAGATTTACAAGAGAATGGGGAACACATGCATGCAATACTGAATCTGGCCTCAATGAATACCATTCAGTCTAAACTCCATGATTTTGATTTCATTTCATTCAATAAATATCATTTTCAATTTAATCTTCCAGTTAACATTACATCAAAATATCTTTTAAACTATTTATTCTAAAGGCTGGTTAGAATAGTTACTGCTCTGACTGAAAATACTATTAAAATTAGGTAAATGACATTCTCCAATTTTTGTGAAGCATAAATAACTTATTTAGGTACAATGCTTCATAATGAAATGAAAACTGTAAATAATTCTGGAATGTGAAATTTTTATTTCATCCTTTGATATGAAGAATAGAACCCTTTTCTATTCTTAAACTTTTACAACTTACCGTATTTCCCTTTTAATGTTTGTGCTTAATGTACAATGTACAGTACATGAATTACAGGAACATTATAAAATGTATTCAAGCTTCATGATCCATCTTGAATAACAGATTTCATTTAAGAGTAAATTTGGTGTTCATTGTTTGAATTATTTAGTTATCAAAACATTTAATCATTTCTAGGAAACCCCCATGCGAGGGAGAAGTCCCAACCATTGACTTCTAAGTTTGTTGTGTTCTTCGTCCCAGTGCAAGTGAATAAGAGTTGACATATCATAGACGTTCCCCAGACACCACCTAATTATCACTTCAACACCAATCTAAATCACTTACTAAATTTAGAGCAAGATTCAACAATAACTGTGTTATGACCACCCAATGTTTTCTAGAATACCTTCAAAAAGAGAAAACTACATGTACACGGAAAGCTCGCGCCAAAAAAGATGTTTTTGATTTCAGCAAAGGAAGATGCTCATCCTACGTGAATCTCCTGGGCCCTGTCTTACAGAGTTGCGATTAATCACAACTTATTTGTGATTGAAATCAATCACAACTTTAAGAGAGATAAGAGACCGACAACTTACGATTGATTGGAGGACTTGGGATAGATTGATTTGAATCAATCACAACTCTTTAAGATGGGACTCTGTTGCTCTACGTGGTCTTTAATACAGACAGGTTGACATATTTCCCTAGATATTTTACAAGAGAATCCAAACATTTTTGAGAGAAAATAATGTGAATGAGTACATAAATTGTTTGTATTTCTTACACAATATCTTTCCACCCCTAGAATCTTAAAATCAGATTACTAAATTGTGATGAAAATAATTTACTGAGAGCCAGGATTGCATTAACTATGTAAAGGTATACAAGATACACTAACATCTTATCGCTCTCAGCAAACGTGTGTTTCAAATGAACATGTAGCAATCATTTTGATTGTAATACCTTACAGTCATTTCAAAAATCAAATTAAAACACTGGTCTAGATATGTTGCTTTGAAAGGTCATATAAATTCATGACTAAACAGCATTCAAACAGATGATATACAGTAGAAGTAGGAATGAAGATTGAGATATCGCTATGACGATGTAGGTGACTCATTTTGTCCAATCTATCACAGAATCATTCAAATAATCTAGATGACAGAAAAATGTCAAATCATGATTATGGAGCAAATCAAATCTCTCACTCAGGGTCAGATAGGACTAAATTGACCCTATCCAATTCCTAGTCTCCTTCTCCAGACTCTACAGTATATTGCTTATAATTAATACTTTGAAGACTTGATTGTATTGCCAATAAAGTTAGAATTTTAGAAAGAAACTTTACGACTTCTGCAGAATTCCTCAGCTCTCCATAAAATAGCAACGCATCATATGTTACATTGTAATATTTCACAGAACAGAAAATTAGTACTATGGTTGTATGTGCAAATATTATTCCAAAAATAAACAAACAGACAGAAAGAGAGAGAGAGAGACAGAGAGAGAGAGAGAAAGAGAGAGAAAGAGAGAAAGAGAAAGAAAGAGAAAGAGAAAGAGAAAACATCAAAACTATCTTACATGTATTTCGCTATTTGCACAAATTTTCAAAACATAATTACTTTTACAAGTGAACTGTATAACAATTATAATGAAAAGCAGAATTGTCCATTCAACAGAAAACAATGTCATCAATATTACAAATAGAGTCATATACAGCAATCAAAAGAGCATCGAAACATACAGTACTATAAATAATATATTATTTATGATCTAGAATAAGACGATGACCTGAAATGAAAGTGACATCACAGAAACCAAGGACAGAGGCTAATTGTACGGCAATGTATTCAACAAAGATAAAAGAATAAACAAAATCATAGCTACTATGATAAAGCTCTAATTATATCAATCTACTGGTCATGTGACAACAAAAGTGTACTTTAACATCATAAGAACAATACATCAAGTAATATAGTTGTTACAGCACTGCCATATGTAAACCGGGAGGTTCATACAGTGTATGGTAAAGGAGGAAGACAAAAGATTACAGCGGCATTGAAGAAACAAAAATTGCAGTAAGAAACATACATGCCAACATTTGAAAATCAGAAATCTGTACAAATTATGCTATTTTCAAAAAAAAAGAGGAACAATCCTAACTCTCCTATTCAATACTACAGACAAATTTGTACAGGAAGAGGAACACCTGCATTAAAATGATAATTATCTTCTCCCAAAAAGAGGAATGTATGAAGAAAGAGAGAAACTGTTGAGTGATATATGGGCATGAATCAAATTAAACAAAAGTTGAACAATGCAGGAGATAATGAAGGTGCTACACCTGTACTGGGGTTAAGCCCTGTAACTCCTAATCAACACAGAAAAGCCAGTTTTAGTTATTTAAAAGAAAAAATGAATGTTAAATTGATAAATTAAAGAGAATTAGAAAGAACAAGTACATGGAACTGTGCAACACTTGTACGCATACATGTGCAGTATACAATCTAGCAAAAAATAATATAACATTACAAATCATGTGTTCCCTAAGGAAAAATAAAGAAATATAGCATTTTACATTAAACAGCTGTTTGCGACACAAGTATACAAAATATGATGGACACCAAAATAAGATATAATTTCTCATAGAGACATTCCACAAGCTTTTCAGGTTTGATGATATACTAGCAGTACATGGAAAACTAAAAGGAGAAGAAACCAAGGCAATATAAATACGGAGGACAATAAAGAAATACAACAAAGCTCAAGTTGCTGAACAAAATAGTGGATGGGTTGGAAGGCCATCAAAATATGCATCTTGTACAACATGAAGATTGTACATGCAGTTGGCGGGGGAATACTTACTGGAAGCGTAAGTTATGACAGCGGATTTATCTCTAGGGATATGGACCTCTGAATAGCCTTCTCATTTGAATGATTGCATGGATAGACAGATAGATGGATAGATGGATGAATAATAAAGAGAGGGATAGACTGAAGAAGGAATATCACCCATTACAGACCGTTAGTAAAGCTTCAAATATGAGCGTCTAGAAGGGATTCAGTCTGTGAGGCACCAATACATGTACAGCACTTGTCACTGTACTTAAATTAATGGTTGGTTAGTAACATGCATTCTGATCAGCACATTCACAAATGGAAACCAGGAGAGAAAAAAAGTCTTCCTGTGTAGCTCATAGATGGATGCACTTTTAAGAGATGGGCACTTGCTCCAAACATTTATCTACAGGTAACAGTATAAAAACACTGTTTTCTGAGAATGGGATGCCTTTATGCATGTGGTTCTCAGATCCATAACTCAGTACACAAAAGAGGAGAGTTTTGTCCTCGTGGCTTTCTACAGAGGGTATTACTCTATAAATGAAACCTTATTTTACATCGGAGTGTTACACAAAGACTAAGATTGACTTACTGTAGGTTGGACTAGCACTATGGCAGACCGTTCATGCCATTGGTTGCCTTCACCTTTCCTGGCATTGGTCTCTCAAAGGCATGGAAATCGTGGTCATGAAGGCTACAGAATTTACATTTTTGGGGATACATGTAGTTCATTGTTGCAGGAAAAGAAATTATCCAAAGATTGACATTTCTTTGGGGTAATTTCCGTCTAATTCCACACGTGGATCAAGACTTTTTAAGGGGCAGAAATTGATTACAATAGTAAACTCCACATCTTAAGCAGGAACTACTGGCATGAAACGCCTGCCATACATGTAGTGAAGTCCAACTTTAAGCCGATCTTAGCCTTTGTGAAACACCCCCCGGATCTCATATCTAGGGGTATTTACATGTACATGTACCATGGTGTGCTCCAATGATGTGCTGAGTGCAAGTCAGCAATAGCTACTCATTAGTCAGATCATGAGCATGGGCATTAAAAGAACTGACACATTCATGTACACTGCAGGCCTGCTTTCATTCTAAAAGGAATCTTTTTCATTCATAATTACCTTGTTGTGCTCGGATGATTAGTGACTGTTCTGTATTGAGTACGAGTCGGCAGTAGCCGTCTATCAGGTCCGCCATGTCCTCTGCTATGGTGGGCGAGGGTGTGGTGATGTATACAGACTGAAAAAACAAAACAAAGCAAGAAATGTAAGTGAGATATCAATTGTTCCTTCCATTCTAAAACTCCACTTCTGAAAAAAGGCCAAAAGGAGAGAATTCAGGAATTAGATATCGATATACAGTGAAACCTGTCTATAAAGACCACCTACAGGAGACAAGAAAAGTAGTCTTTAAAGGCAGGTGGTCTTTATGTACAGGTTCCTTTAGTACATGTTTCAATGAGAAATCATTTTCAAGGGAAACGGAAAGTGTGGTCTCTGTAGACCGTTGGTCTTTCTATACAGGTGGTCGCTAAAGCAGGTTTGACAAGTACCGGTAGTTCCTGAGAGGGTAAAGTTCCCCTCCTTTCAAGACGAACATGTATTTGTGGATTTAATCTTACAGCGAGTTACAACTGACCTGAATCAATCGTAGATTGATGTTTACAGGGGCCTGGTACACATGGGACCCACCCCATCCAAATAAATAAATATATAAATATATGTAACTTTTAAAAAAAATGAAACAAAACTAATAATATTACTGATAATAAAAACATACTTTTTTTAAAGAAGAAAAAAAATCAATGAAATAAAAAAAATTAAAAATAAATAAAACAAAACAAAAAATAAGAATAAAATAAAAATAAAATGAATGAATAAATAAATGAATGATTAATTAAATAAATAAATATATAAATGAATAAATAAACAATAAACATGGGTCATGTTTTGATCCCCTGTACAACAAGTTAGTGTAGTACAGTACCTTCATTCAACAAGGCTATGAAATTGTATACGACGATAAATAATAATTGATCTTAATATCCTGTTCTCTATATTGAGTGGCATGCTTATGACCACAACCCCAGTGATTGACATTCAGTGGATATTTTGGGTAGCATGGTCTAAATTTTAATCTCTCACTTCATCGCACTGCTGAAATTACGTATACTTGAATATTTCATCCACGTCTAATATTTGAAATATTGGACAAGGGGGGAGATCTGCTTTGATGATGTAATCTAGGGGAGATTAACAGAATTCACTTTATGGGTGCGGTACCGTGTTTGGGTTTGCTAACATTGGTCTTGATGACATCATAGAGTGGTGACGTGTGACGTCATCAAAAAAATCTATTTTCAGAATTTCTCAATTTTTCTTCATTTTCCGAAAGAGCATCAAAAATAATGTCCAAATGTCAAAAACAAATTGCATATGTTAAGTATTGCTCTTTCGGAAAATGAAGACAAATTTGAGAAATTCTAAAAATAGATTTTTATGACGTCACAGCTTCGGTACTCTATATCCAAGAATAAGCAATACAATTTCCCATAATGCATTGCGCCTCAAATACCGCGGCGACTTTCTAGACACACTAACTTCTGGTGATTCTAAAACAGGTACTCTGCTATACTACTCTGCTAATTATTCATCATCTGCAATTCTTCATCTTGCAGGGTCATATAACAAAGGGTCTGAACTATCAAGACTATAGACTACAACATATAAACCCTGTACTCCGGCTAGCTGCTCATTTTTTAAAGTTCTAAGCTAGGTTGGGCTGCATTCAAGACTAAATGTATTTGTTGAAATGTGCATCTAGAATCTGTGTTTGAATATCAAAAAGATCACATATATTTACAAGTACTTACAGATATACATCTAAACAGGGGACGATTGATAAAAGTGATGCGTCAAACCAAAATCGTCAAGAATGATTAAGTTGTTGACTGTATGACGTATGTACTTATTTTGTTAAACTATATTAATACTTAATATAAACAAAAGATTCCATAATTAGATATTGTATGATTTCTCATGTTACAGGTACTTGAGCAGTGACTTTCACTGTCAATGTCAACATTCTGAACACTTAAACAAAAATAGAAGATTACTAACATGTACATGGACATTCTGCTCAGATTTCGCTCAGATTTCATTGTCAACTCTCCATGAAATGGTGCAATGTTACAAATTACCATAATTAAAAAAGGAAGAAATTGGCAAGGAGAATCGACATCAGTATTAAAGGTTATTAAGCTGACCTAAACGTGTTTCAGTTTTCTGTTCCAGATATCTATTACAAAATAATGATGATGCATCTTCTACGATAACCAGGGTAAAGTTTCTCTATCGCTGTATCTATCTACATGTATATAACACATGAGCCTGGAATATTTATGACAAGTGATTGGCACATGTGTCATCTGATACATCATGATATTGCTGCCACTGTTGTTTGTTGCTCTTATTCATGAGCTTTAGAATACTGTCATGATGATAATAATGATAAAAATACATGATGTTACATCCACAACTTAATTGCCGTTGATACTGACCACTACCAAAACAGGTCATCTGGAGTAGGGATATCTACAAGAACAAGGTCTTCAGTATCGTTCAAGAAGTTATCCGCTGTAAAGGACTGTTATAAACACTTTCTATATCCCAGGACATTCCCCAAATGGAACTTTCTCCCGACCCATGCTAGAAATACCCCCACTCTTGGAGCCTTTAAAGATACCTTACAAAAGCTCAACATGGGCGAAATAATTGCTAGAGCCCACTTCAGAAATTAAGTATAGGATACTATGCTCAGTCGACTGCGCCTGCATATGTTACATCCCAGCTGAGGAGTTTATGCAGTAGCCCACCAGAACCAGAACCAGAACCCATAAGACATGCACTTGTGTAACTCAAATTCTAATTAAAATCCTCTTTTCCTGTGTGTCTCTCTCTCTCTTTCTCTCTCTCTCTCACACTCTGTTTAGCAGATTCTTACAAAGAACTTTTTTGAATACTTGAGAATGGCTTTAAAGCATCGGTTTGTAATATCAATCTCTGCTGACATCTAATCCATTACTTTTTGAAAAGGCATTTTGATTCCTTTTTTATAATCGAAAGTAACTGAACACTGCTATCCTCAAATTAATGTTCCCCACTTGAACATAATAATTGACATCATGTCATTAAACGTCAGTGAAGTACAATTAGTGAATCGGCACTGTTAACTTCCTGAGCAAAAGTCAAATTTCAAAGTGTACAGTCGGCCTTAATCATTTCACATAGAACAGCTTAATGACTGACTCACAAACTCAGATATGTACTTTGCATAAAAGCATCACAAAATGAACTATTCATAATTTACCCTAGATTCAAATCCGTTTCAAATGCAATCTCAGAAATGTACATTATAGGTAATACAAAGTTTTGGTATGGAGTCATGAATTTGGTTCAAATAAACATATTGGAAGCATATGCGATCCTACAATATTCAGTGATCGTTATCGCGGTTAAAATCGAGCCTAAAGTTATGAAATTATAAATAATAAACTCTTTATGTTGTATAGCTCCCTCTCAAGGTCAAGATATTAATTAAGCTATAAATCAATATTTCTTGACTAAAATTGACCGATCAGTTATTCCCATTTGGAAATTATATATCACAATTACATATTCTGAGATTTTCATGGTCGCAGGTACCATTGTACGGCCGTAGGCGCTATTTGAAATCCATCAAAATTTACCGGGAGCACCGGTAAATTTGTATACCGGTATTCAATTTTTCTCAAAAGCAGAAGTATTTTAGAGGCTAAATTTTCTAGTGCTTATAATACATCCATAGGGGCATCCAAATATATCAAAATTGTAAAGAATCCCTTTCCACCCAATTTTCAAAAGTTTACCAAAACTTTGTACATGTATTACCTTTAAGCTTTAATGACCTACAATGTAGCAAGAGCAGCCCCTAAGTCCTACAATACCAACAAAACGCTATCCTTGAAATGAACTCTGAAAATACGTCAGAGTGACTTCAGAGGAAATTGTAGGTGACACTGATGTTAAGTCCCAAGCTCTCTTGTGGTTTTCCTCTCTCTTTATATCTGACCTTCTTCCTTTGTTGTGGATGATAGCTTGGGCTAATAAATAGCTTGAGAGATTTCTCACTTGGGGTATCCATATCATGACAAGTACTAGAGATATATATCATTTGACACTCTCTCTCATCTGGGTTCTAGGTGTGAAATTGTACACCTGTGGGAATTGTGTGCACACAAATTGTAAACAAACTAAAAATAGCAAAAATATTTATGTCAATAACAACTAAAAGTCTACATCTAAGAATATAATGAATTTGAAAATACAGTACCCTAAAATAGATTCACATAAATACAATACTCCTAAAAACTTGATGAAAAGGAAAATCAGACTTTCCCTATCATAGTGTCCTAATGTTTAATGATTGCATATTGCAAGACTAATAACCTAAAAGACATATTAATATAGTTTGTAGGATCTTAAGTGCATTACATCACACTGCTTAACAAAACACTTGAATGCCTGTCACAAAAAATTAAAGTGGTGTTCTAGTGTTTGTTTTGTTTTGTTATTTAAAATTCTACCAGCTGAAAAATTCAGAGAAGTTTACATTAGATGTTCGAAGAATTCCTGCCAGTCTTACAGCAACTTCACTGTAGTACAATGCTATTCAATGATGTCTACAGGGAGACGTGTGTTTATATTATTTTAGTAAAACTAGAAATAGAAGGAAGTATTTTAAAATGCAAATTCATTTCAAGCTTTTAGAATGAGAAAGAAAAATATATAAAGTACCTTCACCTTTGCTGAATATATTTTCCTTTAAACTAGCAGCATTATAGTTTAATTTGAGCCTTTATTTTACAACATCTCTAATAGTAAGATGTCACTTCAAGTTTACCATCACCAAAGCAAAGCAGATCAGAGTATACATGTATATAGCACCCTCTTGTGACCAAAGGCAGCACAGGCTACTAGAACAAAACCTTAACCCAAGCAACATTTGGTAAAGTGAATAATTTGAGAATACAACAGACTGCTTCAATCCCCAAGATTGCGATCTGACCAGTAGTTTCTCAGATTATATTCATTACATCATTTTTCCACATCGAAGAAAATGAATATAAATAAACAGTTCATAAAGTGAATCATCCAAGTAAAACAAAAATACAGTAACCTGTAGAATGTAATTTGAATGAAACAAGATTATGGACAAAATTATGATAGTTCTAACACATCAAGCAATTAGTTAAAGGTACAACATCAGCAAGAGAGCACTTTCCCATCGATATCCCAAGCAAATGCGGTCAGGCGCAGAGGCACTTATGAAAATATATGTTTTTTAAAACAAAATTTAAAAAAAATTACACAGAGACATAGCCCATCACAAGAGTTCTCCCAAAAACATTTGAAGCGGTTGTTCAACATATGCACTATTCAAATAAGGACTGCATTTATCATGATTGCTTCTGAATTTATTTAAGGATTACATTCTATTTTAATTCTATTGTAATTGTTAAAACCTGCTTTGTCATATCCGACCGGCAAAGGAATATCTGTTGAACCATGTTGAACCATGGACCTCGGGACGTTAGGACAAGCCCCTCAAGAGATCGACCAGTGACTTGGTTTCGATCTCGGGACCTCCCGATCATGAGACCACTGCTCTACCACCGAGCCATCGCGCCTCCTCAATATGAAGACCATTTTGCACTCTATTATTAATCAAATATCTGCGCAACACACCAACTATTAACTACTCAAATGCATTGGCTACTCAAACAAATATACACATAAAATATTAGCAAAATCGTGAGTGGAAAAAAAAACACACAGAAAACACCAAACTCGTGAATGGAGGAGCTGAAGATACAAAATGGCAAGCAGTTAATAAAAGCTAATAGAAAAATAAAACAAAATAAAACAGAAGATGCTGTTACTTACATCCATATCAACAGCAGCATGGCCATACACATGAAAGTTATGATCACACTGAACAAGGGGGGATATAGGGGTTGTTTAGAAAAATAAAGAATTATTTTTCCTATCATATATTAAAGTTATCATTATAATAATAATATAATAAAAATAATGTTTTATTTACCCAGGGTAGCCACTTCAGTTATGAAACTGCTCTTCCAGCGGGCCCTGTATTAATATGTTATTACTACCCTTCTCCAATCTAATATGCTGAGCGCCTAGCTAGAAGGCAGAAGGTCCCATTGTTATAAGTCTTTGGTATGACTCAGCCGGGGTTCGAACCTACGACCTCCCGTTCATGAGGCGGGCGCTCTAACCACTGAGCCACCATGCCCGGTATAAATTGATGGTAATGGAAATTTTGCATCTTAGTTGTTATATTAAATGATTTTTGTATTCTATGATCCATTTCACAAACCTCCCTTGAACTAAATAGGTTCATGGACCTGGGGGTGTTTCATAAAGCTGGTTATGATTATTTTCATTAGCAATACAATAACTCAAAATGTAACTTTTGGTATGAAAATTTCATAATTAGGAGGGATAAAAAAACACACTGAAATAGAAAATAGAAAATACATACACTGTATAATATAGTTTGCAAAGCATTAATAAACTTTTTTTTGTGGAGCAAACAGATACAGATTTTCCATTTTTTTACAATGCATTCACAGTTCACATTAATATACAGTGAAGCAACAAAAATCATATTTAAAAGAGTACTAATACTAGCCAACTAAATCTATGCTATTTGGGTAAAGGGTATGGTATAAATAAGTACAGGGGGAAAACTTCTCTAGTTTGGAATAGTTTACCACTGATAGGAACAGATGATTCCATACAGTACACGTCAGTAACAAAACAGGCCCGTAATTTTTTTTTTCTTTAATCACACTAAGGCCATTTAAAAAAGTACACATGCTTAGCGTCCCCGCCCGCTTCCATTTTGGGGGCCGCCTCCTAATTTTTTTTTTAAAAGAAAAAAAAACATCTTTAAAAAAAAAAACGGAATGTTAGGAATAATGTACCAAGCAGCCATTTTGAGCAGCCATTTTGAAAGAAAAAAAAAAAAAAAAGGGCCTCCTCCTTCCTATTTTTCGAAAAAACAGGACGCTAAACATTTTTTTTTTTATTTGGCCTAAAATAGCATTCACATACTGTCCCACTTGAAAATGCATTCAATACTGAGAGGATTACTCAAAACGTACAGGGGGAAAACTTCTCTAGTTTGGAATAATTGACAACTGATAGGAGTTATTGATTCCATACAATATGCACCGGTAACAAAACAGGCCAGTAAATGTTAATGCTAACTCCTTTTTTTCTTCTTTTTTAAATATGTTTTTAATCATACAGAAATAACATTCACATACTGTCCCACTTAGAAATGCGTTCAATAATGAGAGGATTATTCAAAACGTTAAACAAATGGCCATGCATTGTTCTTTGATCTTACAATAAAATGAATTATGGATGAACAAAACAAAAAAAATCACTAGTTTTCTTAGTCTGACTTTTTAACTTATCACGTTGGAAGCAAAGCATTAAACATGCTGCATTGCGAAAATGCCTCACATGCATCTTGTTTGATATATTTTTCAAGAGAGTGATATTTTGTTGAAAGAACGATTGGCAGTTACCCCAAAAAAGGACTAGATAACAATTGCATTATTCCCCACATTTGGATTTTTGTTTTAATTGTCATCTTTATATCACTAAATGTGCTTTAATGATCTATGATCATCGACAGGACACTTTTGCTACCCATCCAACCATTGTATTTTTATGACAAACATCCTTCAGACCTTCTTGTACTTTCAACAAAGATGTCACTCAGCATCAATTGAAATATTTAAGAAGAAACTTAAGCACCATTTGTTTATGTCGTAATTTTAATATTGTATAATTTTTTTGTAGTTTTAATATAAATTGTATAATTATGTGGCAGTTTTAATATTGTATAAATATTTTGATACTGTACAGAGCGCCTAGAGCAGTCTTTTAGAATGGATATGTGCGCTTTTTAAGTAGACAATATTATTATTATTATTATTACTTTGAAAATATTTCAAGTAAGACTTCTCACCTCGTTAGCTCCAGCTATCTTGAGTTGTAATAGACCCTTCTTATCATTATCTGTACTGAGAGATTGGACGGACTGGACTTGATCAAAGTCGGCCATCTTGGTAGGCTACAAAAATGAAAGAAAGAAAGAAAGAAATACAAATATCAAAGGTAGTGTCAGCTATATGTATACATTCATATATCTACAGTGCGTCCCAGAAAAAATGAAACCGAGAATTATCAATGTTTTATCATAACTTAATCACAACTATAATTAATGAATGACACATATTTGTAAAGCTTAGATCCTCCTCTTGCATTTGATGCTACTCATATGATGCACATTCCATGCATGAGTAGCATCAAATGAAAGAGGAGGATCTAAGCTTTACAAATATGTGTCATTTATTAATTATAATAATTATGATAATTCTCGGTTTCATTTTTTCTGGGACGCACTGTATAGTGAGTGAGTCATGGATTAGCATGTAAATTCACAAACTATAATGTGTATGAAATTTTAGTACATTGTTCCAGTCTGTACTAAATGTAGGTGAAAGTGTTAGCAACAAAGATTTGAAATATTGCTGAGACACTTTAAAGAAAGAAAGAAATGAGAGGAAAGCAATGATGAATATAAAGTGTAATATTTGAGTAAATGATACACCATTCAACAAAGCAATCATTTGGGGAAGGGAGAAGGGGGGGGGGGGGTTGAAGAAAGTATTTTTAATTTCAAGTGGAGGTTACTGTCACATCTTCAATGGCATAAGTCCATATTTCTAAATGTGTTCATGTTTGAGCATTGAGACACTTTGTTGATATCACAAAAAGCAATGGCCATGGCATGAAGCATTTCTAATTGGCAGTTTGAATCTAGATTCATTTTCAAGTCTGATATTTTGAGATCTGAATGTAAACGTTTAAAGTACATGTGCCACTCATGTGACCTACTTAGTTTTCAAAGCATACATGAACTACACTGTAAGCTACACTTGGGGAACTAGAAATAAGAGCAATATTTTGAGCCTAGTCAAATTAAAGGGTGGGGGAGGGAGGGGGAGGGAGGAGGTAAAGGAACTTGAAATCACCTACAGATAATCTCAAGCACAAAACAAACCACAAAGACAAAAAGACATATTTAGCATCAATTATCGTTTGGATTATTTTTCTTTCTTTCAGACTCTTTAACTAAGGACCATTTTCAGCAAGCCTGTAAATGAAGTTTGTTCTTACTGTGGCAGCCTTATCGGTGAGACATGATATCCCATCATCGGGACCGATGACCAGCTCCACTGAGATACTCCAGCCAGTCTGTAGGACAGAGAAAGGAACATGCACCAGTCAAACAAAAGAGGAAGAAATCACTTGAATATAAGTCTTCTACAAGTCAGAGACCAATGCAAATGGTGAGAGCAAACAGTGGCATGAATGGCCTGCCATAGTCAAGTCCAACTTAAAGTCGATCTTAGTTTTTGTGAAACACTCCCCTGTATGAAATGTTATGATAAAGTCATTTTTTTCTTGTTGTGTAATCACTAAAACATACTTTGATACAAGCGGTCAGGATGGAGTAATACACGACTGTGTAGTTGACATCTTTCATCAACTAATGTTTAGAGTACTATTTTGTAGTTAAATATCATTGTAACAAAATGGATTGTACTTCTGGGGGGTGTTTCACGAAGATTCTAAGTTTAACTTATCTTTACATTGGACTTAACCATTATGGAAAGCCGCTAGCATCTTTGAAATATTTTTTAAAAGATATTTCAAAAGGCATAAAATGTTGTTTTAAATCATTCATATTTTCTATTAACAAGGAGAATTCATTTGCTTAGTGTGGAATTTATGAAAAGTCTAAAATGCTTGAATTTTTGCTTTTTAATATATTTCATTTCAAGGATACAAATGGCTCTCCATGATGTTTAAGTCTAACTTAGAGTTGAGTTCAACTTACGCTCTTTGTGAAACACTCCCAGGACCTTTGTTTATAATACAGATGCTTTTATGTGATTTCTTTCTTTTTTTATTTCCTTCTGAAGTGCATCCTGAGCATCTGATTTCAAGTGGATTCGGCACCTTACAAAATCTCATATATTCTTATTCTTATTAAAGGCATCGTTTAGCAATGTTAAATCTGAAATGCATGGCCCTTCGTGTTATCAGTGTCTGTGATGTGGTGTAATATTGAAGCCCTGAAAAAAAATCGCACTTCAAAATGATCAAGAAGTGCCTCAAAAAGTAAACATCTTTGAGTGACCGGTTTTACCATACTCATTTTCCCTAATACACTGTAGTGTTATAAAAACCATTAGGAAAACAAATTCTGAAATTTCTAATTCCAATCATAGATATCTTGATAATTAGACAGGCAATTGGCTTGTAAAAGTCATGGGAATCATGCATGACCTAAAGGTTTATAATTATGATTGCAGCATGAGCCAAATCAATGATATTTTTTAAGAATCTGACATAAAGTTACCAGAACCCTTTAAGTGTTGATACATATATCAAATCAAAACATATCTATGCATGAATTTGTTTCTGTTCTACACTTACACCAAGGGCACACTTGAACTTCTCATGATCGAATCGATGTATCGTGGTTAGTACTTCAAAGAACTTGAACACACACTGCTCTTCGTTCAGGTTAGCAAACTGCTTGAAGTACTGTAGGATAAGCTTGCGTAGATTCTTGGGCTATAGAGGGAGACAGACAAGGAATTGTTAGCAAACTGCTTGAAGTAGTGTAGGATAAGCTTGCGTAGATTCTTGGGCTATAGAGGGAGACACACATGTAATTGTTTGACAAACTGATAGGAATAGCTTATGTTGATTCCTTAGGCTATAGAGGGAGACGAACATGGAAATGCTAGCAAACTGAGTGAAGTACTGCAGGCTAATAAGTGAGTTCGTAATTAGGATTTGTGCATGGGCAGATAAAGGTCATTCGTACCCAAATTGTAAAACCATTGAGACGAATACTCAGATCATGCTCATGCAAGATATGTAATCAGTATTCATTTATGCACCAACAGTACATTTATCTGATATACAGGTGGAAGTATTCTTCTCAAGAGGCAAACAAAAGGTATTCATGAAGCACCTCCATCACTTTGGCAGTGATTATTCTAAAATGCACAGGTGGGAAGTATCCATCGTGTCTAAGATCTGTGGATATTTTGGGGTCATGCGGTCCAGAGCTATTTACGAACTCGCTTATTATGCATAGATCTTGGGCTACAGAGGAATGACAAACATATTAAAAGTTTGAGCCTTCATAGTTTTTATTTCAACAAGTCATTGCCAAGGCAGAGAGCTCATTCAAGCATCCTTAAAATGTTGTTTCTGCTACAGGTGTATGAATTAGAACAATTGTAATATGTTCTTAACATATGAGGGAATGCTTGCTGGATTTACTCATATGAGTCCTGTAGGATACACCCAAGTAGATTCATAGGCAATAGAAGGAGACAAACAAACAATTACTAGCACAATGGTTGAAGTACGAGAGCATAACACAACCAAGGATGTGGAGGTCAAGCTTTGAAAGTTGTCAACTTCCTGAGATATCTATGAAAGTAGACACACGCTCTTCCTATCGCAAGAAAGATTCAGTTAATATATTATTCATATCCCTAGTAGATTTTCCTATGTTTTGTGTGTTTATGTAACTCAAGAATGAAAGGTGGACTGGTTGATTTAGGGCCTTTGTTGATTACTTTTAGATATAAGCTTTAATATGTCACATGCTCAAGAAACATAAATTGAGACAAATCTTATGTGAAAAATTATAATACTTGGTAAGGGCATGAATAATTCATTTGTTAACTGTGCATGTATCTAAAGATTAATATGACTTGAATACCCCATAAACATATTCCCTTTCATTTTCATTGAATACGAAACTGTAATCAAATTCAAATTCAAAATGACCATCTTAGCATCTATAAAGAGACATGTTGATTTTTTTGGTGACATACAAAAATGTTTCATTACAGACAGAGGTGATTCATCAGGTGAGCTTTCAAACCAAGTGAAGGATTGATCAAAATCTGCAAGTTTTTTTTTTAAAGTTTCTTTTTATGCCCCTCCACCTGGCGCTATGTCTGGCAATGTCTCCCAGCTCAGTAATCGGTGTGTTGACTCACCACTTGGAAACTAGAACAACACTCAAATTTGTCTGTCATCTTGGTTTGAAAGTGATCTTTCTGATAGATCTCAATATGTAGTTTGTAATAATAATTCCTCCAATTTTTCTTCTATTACACGGCGTACCACAAGGTTCTATCCTAGGTCCTCTACTGTTTTTTTAATTTACATTAATGATCTTACACATTCAGCTGCACCTCGATTCTTGGCCAAAAAATAGGGGTGCGGTTAATACACGAGGGTGGTTTATACACCATTAATTACGGTATTCAGTTTTTTTTTGCTGTCTGCTGCCTCAAGATCGAGGAGCGAAGATAGGTGACAACGAATAGCTAGAGTTCCTATTCAGTGAAGGATTAATTCTTTTTTGTCCAGATGGATTGTTTCACCTTCCTTCACCTGAAGAGTGTTTCAAAGTCAATAATATGGGCATCATCCCATCTAATGTTGTTTCCTGTCTCATCTGGCCTTTCCCTATATCCATATAAAAAATCTCTCAATCTCTGAATTTCTCTTAAAGTGTAAATGTTTTTTTCTCATCAAACTAATCTTTTCTAAAGATCAACAAATAGCTGATGAAATTATACTTTTTAAATGGCTACTGATTTCAGCTAAAATGGAAGTACTGACTCTGGAAATGTTATCTCTCTGATATTCAAGTAAATCTGAGCTCTTTCTTGGATACCCTGTACTTACCTTAGTATTATCAATGACATTCTTGGGTATAAATCTCTTCAGACCAATTTCTTTCCTGGGGAAAAATAGAAATTATGGAAAGAAAAAACATTATTTCGTGATTCACATATGTTGGTAGGGTTTGCATAATAATTAATTTCAGAAGAGAAATAGAAAGAGAAAAGAGATTCTCAGATTTGGGTATAAATTCTAGAGGATTAGAGAGAGAGGGAAGATACATACACAAACATAACTAGATCAAGTTCTACGTCAGTGAGGAATGAAAGAGAAAGAGAAAACAAAGAGATGAAAATAAAGGATGGAGAAGGAGATAGACAGAGCAAAGTAGTGAGAGATGGAGAACAATGAGAGAGAGAGAGAGAGAGAGAGAGAGAGAGAGAGAGAGAGAAAGAGAGAGAGAGAGAGAGAGAAACAAAGAGATGAAAAATAAAGGATGGAGAAGGAGATAGACAGAGCAAAGTAGTGAGAGATGGAGAACAATGGAGAGAGAGAGAGAGAGAGAGAGAGAGAAAGAGAGAGAGAAAGAGAGAGAGAGAGAGAGAAACAAAGAGATGGAAAATGAAGGACAGAGACGGAGATAGACAGAGCAAATAGTGAGAGATGGAGTACAAGAGAGAGACAGAGAGAGAGAACATGTGGTAAATGCAGAACCAGTCACGATGTTCTCATCATTTCACTTGGCTGCCGATGACAAATACAACCAGCCAAATCTCTGCGCTCCAGAAGCAGCAGAGGCTTAATGCCAGACAGTTAAATCCAAGCACAAATCATAACCCTCTTAATCCCTTCCCTAAGGCTGGAAGGGATTAAGTGAGGGTAGACTGTAATTAATGATGCAAACATTTCTTGCCTACAGTTGCCGTTCTCCTCACATCACGGTCCATGTATACACATGAATCATATTTTAGTAACTCTGATATTTTTTTTCCTTTCTCTGTTATCATTATCATTATTTTTCTTCTCAAGTTCTATATTCCTTCCATTCCCTCTTTGATTTATCCATCCCCTCTTGAAGCCCTCATTTTACGACAGAAATAACACCACTTTCATTTAAAATAAAACAGATCCTACATAATCTAGCTCATTTTCCTGTCCTACCATCTCCTCCTCCCCCCCCCCCCCCCCCCCCCCGCCAAAAAAGAAACGAAAAAAAAGACAATTGAGCTGAGAAAAATTTCATGAATTAACATTTATATTTGGATTAGCATCCCCTTGGTTAGATTTGCGCACCTATAAATGCAGCCCTTATCATGTTATTCTGTGCCATACTTACTCTAAGTAGTCAAAGTTGGCTTTTTTGTCCAGGGCAATCTGTGGCATATCTTTGAAGAACCTTCTCATCTCCAGGCAGCCCAGCTGTAGGGACATGTCCTGTTCTACCAGCTCAGCAACCTCATTCATGTAATCACACCGTACCTACACAAACGGATGACAAAACAACATTACTCAAGGGGGTGTTTCACAAGGATCCTAAGTTGAACTTAACTCTAAGTTGACTTGACAGTTATGGAAAGCCATTAGCATCTATGAAAATATTTTGTAAAAGTTATTTTAAAAGGCATAAAATGTTGATTCAAATCATTCATATTTTCTATTATCATGGGAGATTTGATGTTCTTGATGTGGAATTTATGAAACATCAAAAATACTTGAATTTTTGATTTTGAATATATTTCATTATAACACTACAAATGGCTCTCCATAATATTTGAGTCAAACTTAGAGTTAAGTTCGACTTACGATCTTTGTGACACACCCCCCTGAGCAGGTATGAACACTGCAAGATGAGTGCTCATTGGTCACAGGCCCAAGGTGTCCTGTGTCTCAAACCAATGCAATGGGGGTGTGATGTACATGTAGAGGGCATCTCATCTTGCTAAAGATTCACAAGACTAGAGGCTCATAAGTACACACATGTATGCCCACAAATCTTAAATTATCAGGGTTGTAGGTCTTCGGACCACTAGTCTAAGTGGAGATTCACAAATGTCGACAAGACTGAATCTTCTAATTCTATACAGGTTACACACAAATTGTAAATTATCAGGGTCATCGGTCTTATGACCAACATACCAGTACTTGGTTGATTCACAAAGGTCAAATGGACCAACAATTCTATACAGATTACATTCTCACCTGATCATAGAAGTAGAAGAAAGAGACCTTGTCTTTCTCCAGCAGCACATGGAAGTTTTTAGGCAAGTATCGCACACGCAGCTCATATCTACAGGGAGAGAACGTAAAACAAATCATGAAAAAGCAATGGGCAATTTGATAAATATCCTAGTTACACACACTTTATGTACAGGTACATGTACATAGTGGCGTGCATACTACATGTAGGTTTTGACACTAACAGAGACCAAAGTTTAAATGATAGCTAATAAATCTCTTCCTACAAACATAGCATTTCCCCTGTCTTGTTATTTTTTAGATAATTACCTATACAATATTATTATATCCAAAATGCAATTCATGATCAACATCTATTTTATTCCATTTTGCTTTATCACAAGCAAGGGGATCAGATTACAGCATTGAATTTCTGCAGTAAGCAAAAGATTCTTAGATGGAAAATGTATATCATTCAGATTTTACAAATGTTTCATGTCACCAAAGTTTCTGGTGCTTGAGCCATAATTTTTGCCAAAGGTTTTGAATGTACAAAATCACTGAACATGAAAAAGCTGAGTGTTGCTCGAAGTAGCCCTCGGTATGTATTAATATTTCTGGGGGGTATTTCACAAAGATCCTAAGTTGAACTTATCTCTAAGTTGGACTTAACAATTTTGGAAAGCTGTTAGCATCATTGAAAATATTTTGTAAAAGTTATTTCAAAAGGCATAAAATGTTGATTCAAATCATTCATATTTTCTATTATCAAGATTTCATGTTCTTGATGTGGAATTTATGAAAAGTCAAAAATACTTCATTTTTGATTTCAGAATATTTAATTTTAAGGCTACAAATGGCTCTCCATAATTTTGAAGTCCAACTTAGAGTTAAGTTCGACTTAGGATCTTTGTGAGACACCCCCCAGTTGTGAAGATAGAGATAATACTCACTTCCATTCAATGGCAGGGTGATACGCTTCATATTTTTTCTTGACCTGACCTACGGTGAGGTCGCGATGTAACCAATGGCAATCCTCTGATAGGGTATGCTGAAGCCGTACAGCGAAAGAACTCTCAAAGGCACGCTCTCCTCTTGCTAACTTGCTCACAACAGCATGGATAACACTCTATGGGAGATAGAAAGTGGAGAAAAGGTCATTAATGTTTTATATTTCTGTGTTCTTACCCATAAGTATTTCTGCAAATTCAGTTTTGTTCTTATTCATCACTGTCCAAATACATTTTATTTTTGCAACACTTAAGAAATTTAACATCCTTTAAAAATATATTTTCATAGCTAGTTGACTGAAGATGATGGCAACAGGAATTTCCACTTTCACAAGAAAAATTATGAATCTCTAACTACAATGGTAATTTAGAATGACAGATTTGTTTATTGTAGATAAGTGTAGATTCTATTATAATAATGCAATATCTTTAAAACTTAGAAGGAATTTTAGACTATCGGAAAGAGATTTTTTTTCTCAAAAGACTAGATTCTCAAAAGTACTTGTACACTATACAGTGTAGTTCATTGTTATCAATCTGCGTGTATAAATATAGTTCTTTTCTTAACTTACATGTAAAACTTGTCTTTTTTTTTTTTAAAGAGGAAGAAAAGAGATCTATTACGAGTTGTAAAACGAACACTATTCTTCAAACTTCAAACATAAAAATAGTTTTTTATTTTCAGAAATACTCTGAACACTAGTAGGAATACTTCTACTTCTTCAAAGTTATGTTTCGCTATCATCTCTTTTCTATTCTCTTATCACTGAAAGAAGAAAGGGATGACATTGAGAGATAACGCTGCATCCTTTGAAAGGAAAATGCAAACACGAATGGTTCTGATTCTTTTTTGGGATATATACCAAGTGACAGATTTCTTGGCAACACAGCATGTGGCCATAAAACGAGAGTCAGAAATAAATATTTAAAAGTGAAACATGTTCATGAATTCTCTATGAGTCACCAGTAATCATCATGACTCTTATTTCACACACTTTCAATTCCCATTGGTATCAGTGATTGAGTGTCATTCAAGTGAAATCAGAGGGGAATCACCAATTAAAGGCACGATGCAACATCCCAAGCAAAAACTAAAAAAGATGGTTTTATTTGAGCCTTACATGTAAATTCTCAAATGCTTAATAAGAAAAGATACAGAAATTATTCAGGCAACATTATTTTCATTAAGCATGCATGATGGAAACTTGCCTGGATTATAGTTTCTCACATCCATTTGCTCGGACATCTTCATCCTTAAATAACGAAACTTCAAAAATTATCTACAATATAAACTAATTATTCCCAAATCCAGACTCTCATCTGACAAAACTTGTTTTACAGTGGCTGCTTCAAAAACATGGAACAATATTCAACTTTCCATCAGGGAATTATGTCTTACCTCTTTTAAAGATCCCTAAAAACACCCTTCTTTAACTTAATGATTTAACTATTTTTATGAGTCTTTGTAATTTGTATACGGTATGTTTTTCATGCTTCTCTTCACATTCTGTAATTTGTTTGTAAGTGTTACGGTACTTTTTGTCTTTAGCATTCATAAATGATCAATATACCATCATTATTACTACAAGCTTCTCACTTCCCTCATCTCCCAACTTCATCCCTTATCTAACTTTATGTAACTTTCCCAAAATTAAATCTACTCAACCTCAAAACGTACAATTTTTCTATTGATAATCATTGTACTTTAAGAGTTTAGACTGTATTGCAACGAAAGGTGGACCAATGGAAAAACATCTTCGTCATATTCAGTGGATTTCTTGGCTCACTTGTGTGCATTCATGCAAACAGAGCGCATGTCAAGCGAGAACTCTTTCCATGAATCTTCTTCACCGGGAGACTCCCTTGTAAACACAGACATCAATTCATCAAGAAGCCATGATTCATGTTAGCGTTCCGTCTGGGAAGCCGCTAAGCATGCCCGGTAGCGATCAATCATTCATTATTTACACCCTTTTAATCCAACCATTCCTCTTGTTTTCACCTTCTCTCTCAATCTCCTTTGTCTCACATTTAATGCGTACCGGCATTCATTACGGGGATGGTGATAGACTTGCACGACTTTTAATCAAGTTAGGATTTATCGCTATTTTCACTTAAAAAGAGCTTATGGTTACTTCTTCTTCATCTTCCTGTCTCTCTAACTCTCTTTGCCCCCCTCCCCTGTCCTGCCCCCTCTCTATACGTTCCTCTTCCTCTTCCTCTTCCTCTTCCTCTTCCTCTTCCTCATCCACATCCTTCTCTTCCTCTATCTTCTAACGCCTCCACTCCCCTTTTTTAAATCGTTCCTTGAAGACTCTCTCTCTCTCTCTCTCCCAATCTGTATCCTCAATCTTCTCTCTTTTTCTCTGTCTTATACTCTCACCCTCTTTAACCCTCTCTGTTATTGATCTTCTTTAATATATGTAGGCCTAAACAAGAATATTGAAGACATGTTTCACATACAAAATTTTAATTCACTCTTTTTTTGGAGGAGGAGCGAGGGGGAGGGGGAGGGGGAGGGGGAGGGGGAGGGGGAGGGGGAGGGGGAAGGGGGAGGGGGGGGGGGGAGGGGGAGGGGGGAGGTCCAACCAATATCAATGTTTTTTTCAAGCTGTCTCCTGCATCCCTTTCTCAACTCCATCTTGCCCTTTCGCTTCGATCCTCTCATTTCCATCTCTCTTCCTTTTTCCTTCTCTTTTGTTTCTCTTCATTGCCTTCCATTACACCATCACGCATTGAAGTGAAACATCCCCATTGACTGAGTCAGTCAGTCTGGGATGAGAGGCAGGCAGGCAGCTCGTCATAGCAAGGGAATGATTCATGTATCTAGCATTTCATTTCAGTGCTTCTTGCATGCACTGTGAGAATCAATTACCCTTCACTTACCGCCCCCATAAACAAAGCACTGCAGAGAGCCAGAAGGGCATTAGATCAGGGGTGAGTCCCCTCAACCACGCCCCCCTGAAGTAAAAAAAAGAAAGAAGAGGATTCGGGGGGGGGGGAATGGCATCTAACAACAATACTCCCCCTTTTGAGTAAGAAAATTGGGGGGAAATAGGGAAGAATAGAGAAAATAAGGGAAAAATCGAGAGAAACAAAAATCGGAAACAAATTTAAAAATCAGGAAACCGATTTAAATCAGGTATTATCGGGACTGATTAGATGATCACTTTCAACCAAATGATACATGTACATCATGACTTTGGATACAATTCTGTATGATGAGAGCCATTAAGACAGTATCCATCACTTGATACGTGCCACTTCTGTTGAGAGACAGAAGGGTATATTACTCATCATCCCCCCTCCCCCCCCCCCCCCCCCCCCGTCCCCCCCTCCGTTACAAACACAACTCCACTTTAAAGTCAGAAAGGCATTAACTAACCATCACTCATCACCCTGTGTCACCAAAGTTTTCAATCAATAGCCCTTTCTTGGTTTTCTTTTGATCCCCCATTTCCCTCCTGCCATATCTCATTATTCCACTTAAATACTTCATCTTCACCTCCGCGCTTCTCCGTCAGAGCCATACCAGCCACGATCTTGGCTGGATTTGTTTCGAACCTGGTAGAAATTGAGTTCTTAACGCACCAAGCTATCCATCCATCTTAGCCTATGAATCACTACATTAGCGCTCCGTTTGAAGTCAGAGGAACGTGCGACCGTGTGAGTCAATTATACGTGTTCAGCGGCTCCATGCCATAACTCTTTCGTTTTTTCTACCTTCATGGCTTTTCCCTCAAAATCATTGCCTGATTGAATGCTATTCATCATCCCCATCCCTTCAAATGGTAATCTTACTTTTTATTGCAAAAAGAAAGATAAGGTGAAGAAAAAAATAATAATTGGCAATGTAAAATGTACACCAAATACATTTTTCAATTTTCATAAATGCGGTAGATTGAAAGTAACATCAAATTATTTCGCTAGGAATTCAAGAAGCTCATTGTAATTCATGAACAGGTTAAACATAGACATGAAATCATGTCACCTCAGTTTTGCCAATAGTTTCATTTCTTACATCGGTTGAAAATGGCTAAAATCCAGGCAATAAATCTCTACATCAACCTACAGTACAACAACATTTTCTTCCTCGAGGGAGACCAAATACATGGCCACTATACACAGGGGGCCTGTCTAGAGAGGTGGCCACTATTCAAGACAGGTTTGACTGTACAAATTTTTTTCATTGATATTTGCATACCAAGATTCTTTTAATAGTTGGTTCCAATCTGTCGAACCTCAAACAAACACAGCCATAAATACCTCACTTCCATGATTCAGTTTCAATAGACGAGGATGTTTTCAATTTCAAAACGGTCTCAATGACCTGTGATGACCCAATTCTCATTTCCCCCGTTCATAACACAGGGCTTCTCTATTGACTTTTCTCTATTTAATACAAATTAGCAATCTATGGCATCAACATGTTTACAAGAGGCCGGTTGTGGCGTGGGCCTTTATGACCGGTTCTCAGTCAATAAGTAAATAAATAAATAAATAAATAAATATTTTTATATAATACATAAGTACATGTATGTCAAATATTTCTCCTCCATTTCTTGATATCCTCTTGCTTTCTTGATCAATTTTTACAGCTGAGAATTCATCACCAATTCCTATCCCTGGGCCTTTGACTTTCTGCTGCAAATTTACCATATTTTTAATCTGTACGGTTTTTTGTACCTATGATAATTTTGCACTTCCAAACTGTATAATATGAAGTGAAAATCATCACTTTCATGGCGTATGTATCATTTCAGATAACAATATTTGTTATCTAAATGTGTGATATCGTAAACCAGAGTACTTTATTTACCTAAAAACTTCATATTCTATTTACATAAAAATAGCAAACACTATTTACCTATTGATAGTGTACAGTATTTACCTTTACATGTAGGTGTTGTATTTACAGTGGTATATTGAAGTATACACTACCCTATATTAAAGATCACACACTATATATTCATGTATATATTTATACCTTTATATCTGTTTCCATGCAATTTGACCAAGTTAAAGCTACCATTGGGCTGGTAGACCTTCCGTCATCATCTTCTATCTACCCATAGATTGCATTAATCCTCATTACCAGGTCCCTCGGAGAGAACCTAAAGCCTTTGGTCCTCTGGTGCTTACTAAGAAGCATTTCTGCTTTCTTAGCAGTCAGGTACATGTACCAGATAGCACATTTACCTACAAGATACATGTATGGTAGACAAACACTATTTACCTTTATATCTGTAGTTTCCATGCATTTGACAGAGTTGAAGCTACCATTGGGCTGGTAGACCTTCAGCATCATCTTCTCCCCAGCCTTAGACGCCATCTTGATCCGTTCACGTCGTCTCTTTGTTTCCTGTTCTGTTTATCTGAATATTCCAGCCTAATGTGGATGTTCCCTCTGTATGGATTGGTGGGCCATTAGTACTGATTGAGTTTAAATCATCTGAAAAATATAAAGTAATTGGATTGGTTAAGTGACTTGCGTTAAAGTTTGAAGAGAGTAAAGTGATATTAATACGTTCACATAAAGATAGGATAATAGGGACAAAAACAAAGCTGCTTGGGGGAAGAAAAAAAAACAGAGATTATATCCTAATAAATACCACCACCAATCTCAGAAACCCATTAAACTTGTCGCTCCTTCCTTGATAATGAAATATTTCAACATGCAAGGTCTCTTTCCAGTATTTATTTTGTATAAAATATGTTCCGTGACATGAAAGCTCATACATGTATTTCACAACCCTCAATGAAGCTTTACTTTTAAAAAATTCAAGCTTTTCTTTAATAATTGAAACAAATAATAATATCATTATTGGTAGGGTTATTTACTGTATAATTGAATATAGCCCTGAAAGAATTCAGAATTACTGGTAGAATCCTGACTTTGTTACAAACCCAGGATGTCTTGGCTACATCGCCTCTCTTCAATCTCCTTCCATTTATTATTTACGAATACCAAGTCTTATCATATCTACATTTACTAAAGATAAGCCATTTTTTCAATTAAAACTTTGCTATGACAAGTTATATCAGTGACAGATAAATCTCTGTATATACCAAGTCAAGATGCTCTCGTTATAAATAACTCATAAGATAAACAAACTATCTCTTTCCCCTGATGAGGCTGGCATCGTAAAATATTTGATATTGTTAGGGTAGACATTTATGGCTTCAATTAAAATTTCACTGATAGAGGCTCACAGACTGATCCCATGGGGCACTTTTCCATTATCCCAAACTACTTCCAGCTAGACTGATCAGAATATCTCAGAGAAGGTGAAGATCCTTGTTTCCACAAGCCCTAAATGTATATTTGAACATGACCATCAGACTTATACTTAAAGTGTGTTTCCACTGGCAAAAGACTAGTATCATACAAATACCTACACAAGCTACATGTACATGCATAGCTTTTTATGAGAATAAAGAGAAAAATCAAATTTCTTAGAAACATTTAATATTTTCAGGTTTAATTCTTGAATGTTGAAGGTTACTCCTACTGTATTGCCGGTACTAGTTTGTTTGTTTGTTTTACTTGACTGCTAAAAGAGCATGCAGGTGCTTGTAGTAAGCAACTAGGGGACTGCTGGCTTTAAGTCCTCACCGAGGGACTTACATGTACTAATGAGGATTAATACCTTTATACCAAAAGGGCACTTGCCCATCGACTTGGTTTCGAACCCGGAACCTCCCAGTTATGAGACGCCTGCTCTACCACTGAGCCATCACGCCTCTGTGTTGTAATCCAAACACTCTAAGACTTTCAGTTTGCTTTGGTATGGTAATTTCACTGATAGAGGCTTACAAACTGATCTCAAAGGATACCTGATATTTGGCCAAAGAGCGTATTTTTTCATCAACTAGCCCTAAGTTTGCTTGGGATAAAATATGTAACTCTTTTTAATATCGCAGCTACAATTTGAGTCTGCACACTTACAGTACCATGAATTAGCTTGGGTTAATTGCAATGGGGCTTGATACCCTTGATCAGAGTACATGTAAATGGCTACTTTGAAGAAAAGTTGGGCTAATGATGACAAGCCTACATTCCCTTATGATTACAACGGCCCCAGGCATTAACACAATGACTGATACATGTGCCCAGAGTCTAGCATTGATTATTCGCATTATGGTTATCACATATGGGGGGGGGGGGTGTTTCACAAAAATCCCAAGTCAAACTCAACTGTAAGTTGGACTTAAACATTATGGAGAGCCATTTGTAGCCATAAAAAAAGGTATGTTCAAAAGCGAAAAATCAAGTATTTTAGACTATTTATAAATTCCACATCAACAAAATGAAATCTCCTTGATAATAGAAAATATGAATGATTTTAATCAACATGTTATGCCTTTTAAAATAACTTTTGCAAAATATTTGTATAGATGCTAACAGCTTTCCATAACTGTCAAGTCCAACTTAGAGATAAGTTCAACTTGGGATCTTTGTGAAACAGCCCCCATGGTGCATGACACTGCATGTGTACTTTATTTGTATTCTATGAGATTGTAAGAAGACCAATCATCAAAATCAATCATGCAGATATCCAAAACTTGACAAATTGCACATTTGTTAATGTTTTCATCAAATGCCAAATCCCAAATTCTTCCAAAATTGGATCATAGTCAAATCTTGTATTGTGTGCTGGGCTTTACAAAGAAAAACTGTCAACACACTTTTACGATGAGCTTTTCTAAAAGTTAACAATTTTTTGCCGTAGAATTTGTTACCAAAATTTATGTTTCTGTGGATAGGTCTCAACCAATCACAAAACCAATCACATTCTGATCACCAGCATAAGAAAAAAGGATATGGTTAGAAATGTTGAGACTTTCCACATCACTTTGGTTAGATTATATTAAATGAGACATGACAGCGATTAATACACTCCTTGGAATTTCTATCCACATTGCAATACTGCACACAATTACGCTCCTTTCGATGAGGAACATTCTGGAGTGTTGACTGAAATTACACTACCTCTGCTGGGGGTGTTTCACAAAGATCTTAGGTTGAACTTAAGTTGGACTTACCAATTATGGAAAGCCGTTGGCATCCTTGAAAATATTTTTTTTAAAGTTATTTTTAAAGGCATAAAATGTTGATTCATATCATTCATATTTTCTGTTATCAAGGAGATTGTATGTTCTTGATATGGGATATATAAAAAGTCAAAAAAATTTGCTTCTGGATATGTTATTTTATGTCTACAAATGGCTCTCCATAATGTGTACCGGTAAGTGCAACTTAAGTTCGACTTAGGATCTTTGAGAAACACCCCCCTGCTCACGAGAAACACCCCCCTGCTCACAAGAAAGCCGTCTGTGGCAGTTACATCCTTCTTGCAGGCAGCTGATGACTAGCATAACCATGGCAAGCTTGTAAAGCAGGGAATAATTTTCCTCAAATTTTTTGATTAGCAATTTCAGCCGATGGATAAATATTTCAAATTAAATTCTGTACATTTCTATGGAAGAAAACTGCTACACAAAAGATATTTTGTATAGCAGTCATGCAAAAATGCATAGCAAATTGCGATGCGATACCAGGAAAATTATTCCCTGTAAAGTCCCATCTCTCTCTCTCTCTCTCTCTCCCTCTTCTCCTACTCCTTTTTCTTCTTTTCTTCTCCTTTTCCTCCTCCTCCTCCTCCTCCTCATCCTTCTCCTCCTCCCCTCATTTTTATTCTCCTTCTCCTTCTCCTTCTCCTTCTTCTCCTCCTCTTATACTACCTCTGCTGGTCACAACAAAGCCGTCAGTGGCAGTTGCATCCTTCTTGCAGGCAGCCGATGACTAGCTATCCATGGCAAGCTTGTAAAGCCCCATCTTTCTTTATATATCTCTCTCTCTCTCTCTCTCTTCTTCTTCTTCTTCTTCTTCTTCTTCTTCTTCTTCCTCTTCCTCTTCCTCTTCCTCTTCCTCTTCCTCTTCCTCTTCCTCTTCCTCTTCCTCTTCCTCTTCCTCTTCCTCTTCCTCTTCCTCTTCCTCTTCCTCTTCCTCTTCCTCTTCCTCTTCCTCCTCCTCCTCCTCCTCCTCCTCCTCCTCCTCCTCCTCCTCCTCCTCCTCCTCCTCCTCCTCCTCCTCCTCCTCCTTTTCCTTTTCTTTTTTCTTCTCCTTCTCTTTTTCCTCTTCCTCCTCCTCTAACAATTAATACCTCTATACTGCTCACAAGAAAGCCGTCAGTAGCTTTTGCATCCTCCCTGCGGGCAGCCGATGACTAGCATAACCATGGCAAGCTTGTTAAGTACCATGAGCGACTAAAATGCCCTACATGCCATCTTGTTTAGTGTTGCTTTCATAAGTCACCCTTGACCTCTCGCTGATTGGATTGCCCTCTAGTCTTAATGGCATGAGAGATGTGTACATACACCAGTCTTATCAGCACAAGATATGAACACATTCTCTGCATCAATAAAGAAAGGTAAAGGGACCTCTTTGACTTCTACAAACACATAAAGAATTCAGGAGTTTTTTTCTTGATTAACATAACATTCAACCATTTCCCCTCTCTCTCTTTATCTCTCTCTCTCTCTCTCTCTCTTCTCCTCTTCTTCTTCTCCTCCTTCTCCTCCTCCTTTTTCTTCCTCCTCCTCTCCTCCTTCTCCTACTTTTTCTCCTGCTCCTGCTCCTCCTCCAACTTTCTTAAATTTTTCTCTTTCTTGCTTTGTTCTTCTTCTTCTACTTCTACATCTTTTTCTGTTTTTCTTCTCCTTCTCTCTCTCTCCCTCTCTCATTATTATCTCATAGCTGCCATATACACTTCACATGATAAAAGCTATACCATCATCTTCATACCTGATTCCATTTATTTCCTCCTAAAGCTACCACAACTATAAACCTTTCTGACTCATATTCTATTTATAAATCTTTATCAAACCCATTGAACTCACATATTTCAAGATGGGCTTCCTCTAAAAAGATTTATTGTTTACGTTTGGTCGGTCCCATTCCCCATCAGTGTAAGATATGAAATCAGTACTTCAAGAGGGAAGGCTATTCAGGATACAACTGTTCCTAGACAAATGGGGTTCTAACAGATTTAATGCCATGGAGGAAGAACCGAACTGTCATCTGGGTGTACTTGCCAACTAATTGCAAATTAAAAGTAGATCATTTCAAACGTGATATTAAAAACAAATATGTATCAGCGCATACAGCTCTGATGTACATGTAATGTACAGTTATGGATGTACTTGATTGTTCATCACAGCTATTTCATTCCATTTCATTACTGTCAATATCAAATTGAAGATCATAAACAAACTTCTTTTTCTCTGTTCTAAGATACATGTTTGTCCTGTGCATGTTTAAGAATAATGCCTTTTTAAACAAGGGATCTTTAAAGATGGCTGCTTCCATATTTTTTCCATATGTTAATAAGTATCCGGTTATTAGTCACATGTACAGTTAGCAACTCAATTTACAAGGTTCTGAAATCA